TCAAAAAAAGCAGGAGAGGGGGCAAAAAAAAAGAGCAGGAGAAATCCTCTACCTGTTTACACCAGTATTGTGGCTTCTTGTGCCCCAAAGCAAACACGTAGAGTGGCTAGGCCTCACCTGTCAACTTTCTAAGGTGTAGAGTAAGCAATGAGTACTAAAAGTTCAGTACAGTCATCCTGTCTATCCCTCCACACAGCAACTGACTAGCCTCTGAAGGAGTGGGTACATCAGAAGTTAAGAATATACACTGGAGCCCAGCTATCTGAGTTCACAGTCTTAGCCAACTCATCTCTTTGCCTCAGTTTGTCCAGATGTAAGATGGATATAAACAGAATGGTGACCTCCTAGGGCTAGTGTAAAAACTGCTGGAGTGAGGGGGGCATGGTGAGCTTATGATAGAAGCAACTAATGTACACAGGGTCCTTATTAGGTACCTCATCCACAGAAGCCTCTGGCGGCCCTGGCCCTGCATACCTGCCACAGTCTGTGGCAGGTCCCCAAACAGCAGTCATCACCTGTTTAACAATGTGACATCATCACATATGGGATCAAATAAACTTTTCGGTCAGATTTTTGTCCAAAGGATTTAGATGAGGTGCCTGGTGCCAACACTTTCTCCCACATTGATTGGAACTACAAGGCTTTCATTATGTGATACCCATCCCACCTCAATTTTACCATCCACTAGAGGAAGATATTAATCCTTCTTGCCCCAAAGTTGTGTAAAGTATAGGATAAAAGGGGGGAATGTTGCTCTAGGACCAGAGCATGTACAAGACAGGTAGGGAGGGCTTTATAGGAGTAAAATAGCTGCTTCCACCAGTTTGTGTCCCAGTCCCTGAAAGGCTGTCCCTGAAAGGCATGGAGCACTTTGTGCAGCTGCTGCTGCTGAACCTGTGTCTAGGTACACTATAAGCAAAATAGAGCTGAAAATGCCAAGACAATAAGACTCACTGATGCTCTGGCAGTCTCCTAGCAGATCAAGGTGCATTTATGGGTACAAAACAGGAGAGGCTTCCAGATGTTGGAAAGAGCCCAACTAAGTACAGAAGGCAGAAAACAGGGGTGTTTTACTAAGTATAAATGCTCATATGAAGCCTTAAAAAAGAACACACTAGTGGTATTCTCAGGAGAACAGGTGGAAAAGCAGGTTGAGATAAAGTCTATTGTGCCAAACTGGCCGATAAACACATGTGGGATTAACTGAAGGGCAGAGAGATATGTGGCTCAGTGAGCCTCTCCTTTCTAGTTCTTGGGGCTCTTGCTTTCTGATGGTCGGACCAGGATGCAACTGTCTTAGCTAGTTGCCTGCTTCAGCTGGCAAGGCTCACTTCTTGCAAGACATGCATGAGGAGAAGCCACATGGACCTACCCTGATGCAGCCCTGGGTGCTGGAGCAGCCATGTGGAGACCCCTGCCAGTGCTGAGATGCTTACACACTCACTGATTGGACTTTCCTCCTGAAGTTGGAGTCATTGTGTGTGTTTTGTGAGATTGAGGAGGACTTTGTAGATTGGTGTTGGACATATGGGGTAATGTTGGACTTATGGGCTTGGGCAGCACTGGGTTTTGATGTTTTCTTAATGTACAGTTATCTTTTATATAAAACTCTCTCTATATATATATATATATGAGTTGCTGTGGATTTGTTTCCCTGGTTTACCCAGACTAACACACAGGTTAATCTAATTCTGACTTCCTTAAGGATTTATAAATGAAGAAGGCAAAACAGGAAGTGAAAAATGCAGGCCCAAGCCACAATAGCAGCCTAGGTATTAAGCTAAGACATTAGGGTCTTCTAAAGGCAGGCAGCAGGGACTACTGAAGACTATGCAGGGACAAAGAATGGTGTGGTGACAAATGGAGAGAGACCAAAACAACGAGTAAATAAAAGCCTGATGAGAACTAGACAACAGAATCACAACACTAAAGCAGTACAGTCTTTATTAAACACATTGTGCCAGGCCCTGCACTAGCTATGACACACCAGAGTTTACCTAACTCTTCCCACAGCCATCCCAGGAGGCACCACCCCACTCATTTCAGAAATGAATTTAGCAACAGCTTAAGGTGACACATAAAAGCAGTAAAGACGCCCAGATCCAAACCTGCCTCCTTCAGCTCTCAGAGAGCACGTTTGAATCTGAGACTGTATCTGAGCCCTGCTTGTAGCAGGCAGGGCAGGGCAGGTAGGGGTGCACATTCCCAATCCACAAAGTCTGGTCTCTGATCTGATCCAGTTACAGTGCTTGGCTTGGTTCACACAAAGGTCCCTAACATGCTCTCCTACTCACCCCCACCCTCTATCCCACCCTCCACACACACATACACAATACCCGCTGGGCTACTGGTGCATAGGAACTAGAAGGAAACCTTAACACCTGTCTCTTTAGAAGCTGCAGGTAACACATGTCTCTTTAGAAGCTGCAGGGTTATGTGGCCTGAAGTCACATGTGGCCTGAAGTCACATGGCCACTCAAGCAAGACTAGCATTTACCAGTGCGTCACCAGTATCCAAATCTGTCTTGGAAGAAGTATGGCAAGAGTGCTTAGAATCAGGATGGCAAGACTTCATATTCCATACTTTGGACATGTTATCAGGAGAGATCAGTCCCTGGACAATGACATCATGCTTGGTAAAGTAGAGGAACAGTGTCAAAGAGAATGGCCCTCAATAAAACGGAATGAAACAGTGGCTGTAACAATGAGCTCAGACATGGGAACAATTGTGGGCATGGTGTAAGACCAGGCAGTGTTTCTTCTGTTGTACACAGGGTTGTTAAGAGTCAGAACCAACTCAACAGCACATAGCAATAATAAGTGTCCATCCAGTTCTCTTACCCACCAATTGCAGAGGAGAAGAAGAGAACTGTGTTTCCTTCTACCAAACTAGAGACTTTACAGGATGGACCTCATTTCAGCCCTATAGATTCATTGCCAGTCAAGTCTGGCTCTGAGAAGGCTCTACTACTACCTGTGAAGTAGAATACCAGGACCACAGATCAAACTAGCCAGCCTCCAACCTACACTTGGTTAGTTATCTACTAGTGCCAATTGGCACCTCTTCAGCTCAGGTCTTGCTTTATACACTTGGACTAATTAATTTACTTCTCTACAGAGTCAGAGGGTTTCCCAAGGAGGCAGTATAGGCTTGAAAGGACCAAGGTTGGTGGGTGAGAACGCACACAGATGTCAGGAAAGGAACAAACAAACACAGTATATCCTCAAGACCTACAGTCAGCAGTCAAGAGCCCATGTGGCCAAGGGAAGAGTTGGTGGGGAAGGGGAATACACATTGTCAAAGGAACCCAAAGGCTACACAGCTGCCCACTACATACCCATCATCATGCCAGGTCTGTTCAATACATAATCTTCAGAATAACCCATCTGGTGGCAAGAGGTTCACAATTTGCTCCCTCATTTGACAGGAAGAAAAAAAAAAAGCCTCAGGGAGTATCCTTGACTTCAGTCACACTAGCAGCAAAGGATAGGAATATGGTCCAAACCCAGGGGTATCCCTGCAGAACAACTTCTCTCCAACCACACAATATAGGGTTTGGGTGTCAGAGTGGGATGGGATAGAAAAAAAATTCTCATTGCCACAACATCTATTCAGATTTATGATGGTACAGTAAAACTGCTCTATGGGGTTCCCAAGGCTATAAATTTTATGGAAGTAGGTTGTCATATCTTTCCCCTAGAGTCCTTGGTGGGTTTGAACTGCCAAGCTTTTGGATTGTAGCTCAGTGCTTAACTACTGTGTCCCCAAAGCTCCTGAATGTGGCAGGTTGCCCAGTACTCACAAGTACTATCCCAGAAGCCCCTGGTGCTTCCCCCTTACCTCACTACTCAGGCCACCAAGAGGATCTAATCTCCTAATCCTCAAAATAGAAATTAAATAGGAAACAAAAGATTTGTCCATGAGGGCCATAGTTCCATCAAGCACCCAGAGATTTGCAAGATGTCTACAGAGAGGCTTCCCAGGTGGCACAAGGAATGTCCTGGGATGAGGTACAAGACAGTAAGCTGTCAGTAAAGCACTGGTAAAAGAAATAACTAGGCAGTGAGGAAAGCATGACCTGGTTAGAGAGTTGTGCCTGGGAAGGGGGCATTGGGTCAACAGTGTTAACAGTGATAAAAACAATTCTGACTCACAGTGGCCCTACATATACAAATTAGAGTCATTGATTCCCCCAGGTCTGTATTCAGGGCATTTTCCTGTCTGACAGCATTCAAGAAAAAAACAGAAACCTCGCCAAAACTAGACCCAGAAAAGGAGAGTGATTTGCCAAAAAGTGACACAGCAACAGCAGGAACCAACAAAGGCTTAGGCTATACCTGTCCCAAGGGATCAGCTGCATCTGCCAGCCTCAGCATACACACACAGAGCATTTTGTAAAACATTACAGAATATTACCCCACTATACAAAATCGAACTGCACCTGTGCTGCCCACTGGCCTCCCAACAGAAGAAAGGTGGGTTTCACGGTTCTTCAGCACCAGAACACAGCTTTGGTGGACACTGCCCCTGCCTATGCTTGGTTAAGACCACGCCCACATGACCAGTCTAAAGCATCCTGAGGCCTGCCTAGCTTCCAGGAAGTTACTGGGCTGAATCCTTCTGAGAGTGGGCCAGTTGCAAGCAACGGCAGAAGCCCAGATACCAGAGGCTGCACTGAGAAACTGCGGGCCTCTGGGTCCAGCTGCCATTGCGGTGGGTTCACCCGCAGAGTCCAAAACGATCGAGGGAAGGAGGCTCTTAGGTGGAACCTCTGGGCCCCCTTTTCACAAACAGCACCCCCCAGACCCATCTCCTACAACTAATAGAAGGGTGACCTTGAGCGCCGGCTGTCTCTCTCTTGGCGTCAATGTCCCCTCCATCCCAGAGGGGCCTTGCCCACTGGAGGCCCCGCTCCCTGAGTGGCGGGTTGGGAAGGGGTTTCGGTCACGGCCTGCCTGGCGTCGCGGAGAAGGCGTGGCAGTTGCGCCCGGCCGCTCACCTCTTTGAGCTGCTCCATCTCGCCACGAATGGCCTCATAGTCCACCTCGAGCTCCTCGAACTGCAGCTTGAGCTGGTGCTTCTCCTCGAGCACTGCCAGACCGTACTCGGCCGCCTGGATCTTCTCACGCGTAGTCTCGGCCAGCTCGTGGGACAGCCGCTTCACCTCCGCGCGGAGCCACTCGGGCTGTGCCTCCATCACCAGCCGCACGTACTCCTCCTCTTCAGAGGGAGCCGACATGATTGTGCAAGGGCTACACACAGGCACGGGCACAGGCTGGGGTCTTAGCTCTGGTCACGACGCTCACCAGTCACAGCCGCCCATCCCAGAAAGCCGTTCCGGCGGCGGACGCACCACGGCAGGCTCCTCTCCGCGCGGAGAATTGTGGGGACTGAAGTCTCCACCGGCGCGCACACAACAAGGCCCATAATACACCGCGCTGTCCCGCCACCAGTCGGGAGCAGCCTGCGCAGTGACGTCATAGAGGCGGAGCCGAAGAGTCTTCGCTGCGGCTGACTGGTTACTAGACATACTCTTCCAGGCGGTGTGTCTGTTTGTTTTCCGCTTTGCACCGAGCTGGCGGGAGGGGGGGCGGGGGTGTCACTGCAGTCCCTGAGACCTTCCAAAGCGGAGGGCGATGGCCTCGGGACCGTTACGTTTCAAGCGCACTCCACCCTCCGCCCACCCCCAGCTTCCCTTGCCCCGGGAAGGAGACTAGAGTCGCCTGATGATGACACAGCAGCACCGAGTTCAGATTCTCTCATCTGTGCAGTGGAGCTTCTAAAGCAGGCTGGCAGGGTTCTTAACCCTGTAACGCCGAGCGCGACGTTTTCGTAACGTTTAATTGAAAAGCGTCTGGTACAGAAATTATAAAGCTGTTGAAGCCGATGACGCTGTCGACGAAATTGTTGCAATTTACTAGTACAAATGCATACCGCTACAAAATGCTTGAATAGTGGCACATGTTTTGACCGAATGTGCGTTCAGTGAATTTTTAAAAATTATTTCACTGGGGTGGGGGCTCGTACAATTCTTCTCACAATCCATCCATACATCCATTGTGTCAAGCACATGTACATTTGTTGCCCTCTTCATTCTCAAAACATTT